AAAATTGACCTTGGAAAAAAATTTCAATAAAAATAAACTATCACACATCGCACTTGAGATAAATCTTAGCATTTCTAACTCACCAAAATAAAACGAGTTATATCAAAGGTTATTTCCACTTCATAGTGTTTTTTTTAAAGCATTAATTGAAATTTAATCTGCGTTATAAATGTAATTGTAACAGAATTCAGTGTTGCAACACGCAAAGTCGAAACACAATTAAAAGTGAAAACAAATCGCAACCACGAACTGCGACGAAATGTACTTCTGTATACGACTGTGTTAAGTGTGACGTGCAAAGGAGAAAAAACATCGACCAATGAAAACGCGCCACTGCGTTGTGCACTTCTACACGTCTTCGTTTTTCCAACGGTATAAATTTTATTCATATAAATATATTTTATACATATATATACATATATACATATATGTCAACGGCAACACAGTCAAAGAGGGAACACAAACTTTTTTGTTAGCGTAGTTATATATAAAAGATAATTGATTTCTTCCACCGGACTTTAAACCGTTTGTCAATATACTTGTATGTGATATTTTATTGGAATTGGTCAATATGAATGAAAATTTGAGCTAGATCTTGGTCTAGCCTCATACTCCTAAAATCCGATCTCCTACTTGACTTTTTCCTCATATACCTAAAATAAAAAGTTTAGGCCCTTTGGTTTATAGCACATATCACATTTGAGACTGATTTTAATAAAAATACATGAACATGTATCAAAATGTAGTAATTAAACTAAGTGACGATCTATGTATATTATACGTTAGTTACATACCAAATATGATTGTAATCCATTCATGATTTCGTTGAATAGCAATATTGAATTCTTTGGCAAGTTTTGCTTTCAATAAAAAAATTTTCCAATACCTCAAAAGACATATTTCCTGGACTTGATCTTTAAAAATTGCGAGAGTATAAATTGTTCGGTTGCACCCGTACTTAGCCTTTCTTCCTTGTGTATTATTATTATCGCTGTAAGATTACGGACCATACGGAATTTATATATGTACATGTAGCTCACACACACAGGCACAAAATTTTAAAAAATTACGATTTTTAAATTTTTTTCATAAATCAAACATTGAATTTGTAGAGAATAAAAGTGTCAAACTTTTTAAGTATATTTTTTTTTTTCGTTTGCGCATTAGTCTTCAATCTTAATTCTGCATTAACAACCAAGCGATAAATTCAATAAATAAATTTCATTTGGCAGGCAATTCATTTCAAAACATTTGCCAATGTGCGTATTGTGAAGCGTGGTTGGGTGCATAAGAACTTATTGGCGTTTGTAAATAAAACAGTTACCGAAAGCAACAATATGGAACACTTAATGCTCTACAGCGAACAACACAATATTTAAATTTCGTGCCAATTTCGCGATTGGCAATTTATCACGCTGTCATCTCACATCGACCGCTGAGCGTTGAGCGCCAGTGTGATTGCGCGATCGAAGCACACACGACAACACCTATCGGAGGCGCCAGACTGTGTGTATGCGTACATTCCAAGGCGCCGTGACGCTGCATCTACGCATGTTTGCCAATGATCAATAGTCTGTGACCCTAACGAAAAATAAACGAATCGGTTGCCGCAGCTGTATCAGTGCAATATAGACTATGCAACATATTAGACTAGTATCGAAAAAAGCCTTTAAATAATAAATATGATATTTTTTACTTGTATTAATATATACATGCATGTGCATATGGTTTTAATTTTAATTCAATTCGCATAAATTTTGCGTGTCTACACAAACACACATTGAAAGTATTAAGCACTCGCTGCTTGATACTGCCATTGAGTAGTGTTGACGTTGGCGTTAATTAAATAAGTACCTAGTGTACTTACGTCCATCCACTTTCAGCGCTCACTGTCAAGCGCCGCTTCGAGTCGCCGCAAAAGAGTGCCAAGTTACTCGCACCTTAAATTTTTAATGACCCTAAATGAGGTAGCTTCATTGTATGTTACCATACATGTGTTGTGCTTATAACTTGGTTTATTACGTAGGTACATTATTAACGACTCATGTGCTTATGCAAAAATGAAACATGGGTTGGAGTGATTGAAAAATAGTTGGTATTTAAGGTGTAGAAGGCATACGTATAAGCTCACATAAGTTCGAGAAAATTGTATTCTTGACAGAAGAGACTTTTCCAAACCAATTAGGAAACCTAATTTTGCATAAAATCATTAATTACCGGAAATACTTTTCTTGTATATACATATATACATATGTATATGTATAAAACCGGAAGAGCAATTCTTTTTAATGTATGATATGTTACGTCAAATATGAGTGATTTCCAAATTAAAACTACCAAGAGGCTACGTGGAATTTGTGCTATTTGTGTGCGTCTTCAGTAGGACTGTTTTTTGTACATTTAATCTACTGTGTACGTTCTTCTGTTCTTCTTTTCCATGCTAAATTGTAATATGAGCGTGTCATTTATCACGAATGCACTCGTACTCTACGCAAGCCCATCTCCACATGGTGTGTTCATATTATTTTATTTATATGTTTAAATTTTTTAATAATCCAAGGTATTTATATTTAATTTACATACAAGAGAGTACTTTCGTTACTTAATTGTAATTAAGTCGCACAAAACAATTTTTATTCCTATAAAAAAAAGACACACAAAATTCAAATTTAATGGGAAATCTTTATTACATTCTTTAGCATTTATTTTTTGAAGATCACGTCTTTCAAATGTTAGCCGCGGCAACGTCTGAAACTGTCCATCCGTTGAGCCCAATTTTCGATGACTTGTTCGTGCATTTCGACCGGTAACTGGCGAATGACACGCGTGGTGTTTTGCGCCATCGGAGCGGGATTGTCCGCATAAATTTTAGACTTTATATATCCCCACAGGAAAAAGTCTAACAGTGTGAATCACACGAACTTGGTGGCCAATCGACCGGTCCAAAACGTGAAATTATCGGCTCACCGAAGTGTTCTCTCAATAAATCCATTGACAAATGCGATGTGTGAGAAGTGGCGCCGTCTTGTTAAAACCAAATCTCGCCGAGAGCTTCAATTTCAAGCATCAAATAGTTGTTTATTACCGGCATAATTTTTGAAGAAATATGGCTGATAATTTCACAGGCCCACAAACCACACAAACCCGTTATTTTTATTGGATGAAATGTCAGCTCTTTAATCTCTTCAGGTTGCTCTTCGTTCCGAAGACGGCAATTTTGCTTGTTTACATACCCATTGAGCCAGAAATGGGCCTCACCGCTGAACAGAATTTGGCTCAAAACGTCGGATCTTCTTGGAACTTTTCAAGAGCTATAGCATAAGCTCGACTCTCCACGATCTTCGTGTACACTCCCAGCTACGGCCGCTATATGTTCTTCACTGCGTGCTGGACGTGGTCTATTCGGTCGAATATTATCCAATATTATATGCTGGGTTTCAAGATCGGTGATGGT